TGGGAAAAATATTTTTCAACATACCGTTGTCGGGTGTTCTTGCGACTTTTTCTTGAACACATCGACACATTTAATTACAATATAAAGCAATTTTCTTAGAAAGAAAATTTATTTCGTAAAATAAATAAATCAATCCGAGGGGGAATCTAAGAGATGCGCACAATGAACCGAAGTTATCGCGAAGACGAGCAAGCGTTATAGGTTAGGTCGAATTGTTTACTCGATTTTTCATCATGCCTCATCGCCTCGAAGGGCCGGGGAAATTAATTAAAGTCAAACAAGGCTAACTGCCTGGCAAGCAGGTTAACTGCTTGCCATTGTCGAGAAAACGTGATAGTTCGACAAGCGGAGGCCAAAAGGATATAATGAAACAACTGTGAAATTATTATGGACGGTGGTATAAGACTTTTGGTTTATGCGAAACTCTTTCCAAACAAGTCATTCATCGACAAGGAGCTTTGGAAGCTCCTTATAAGGGACGAAATAAAGGCTTTATTTAGTGTAAATACTTGTATAGTAAAATTAAATGATTAATATTTATTATTTTGTAGTTACAGGACGGTGAATTATGTTAAGGATAATTTTATGTGAAATTCAATATGGGGGAAGAGAGGAGGAGAAGAAAGCGAAAAAAATCTATTTTAGACGAATATTTATTATTTTAATTATATAGTTAAAGAATATGAGGTTTCTTAAGCTTTTATGTAGATAATTACGAAAGAATGGCATATTTTATATTTTATGTGCAATTTAAAGAAGAAAAGAAAACCAAAATAAATAATCAATTTTTGACAAGTATTTACTTCGTGGTAATGGTATATTTTCATGAAAGAAAAAAAATTGAAATGAAAACTGAAATTTTACCTTTCGATTTCTATGTAAAATAAATCGTTATAAAGAATTTCATAAATTGTTTAAAACGATTTTTATTATCGATATTAAAATTATAATATTAATAATGGAATAATGAATTGATAGATAAAATATACGGGGAAAAAAAATAATACTTTAAAATTTAATATAGGATAATGGATAATTTGAAAAATTATCAAGTATTAATCATGTTTCAATTTCATTTCTATTTCCAATCAAATAACAATATTTAAATATACATTAGACTGGGGCGATAGTGTATTCTTTTATTTCCCTTTTTTTTTTTTTTTTTTTTTTTTTTTTTTTTTTTTTTTTTTTTTTTTGATATAACTACGCGCTAGCACGTACATTCTTTCCCAACACGTTCAAACACGTTAATTCTATTATCGAAACACACATATTACATACATATTATTTTTATACATTAAGAAAGACAAAATGGCCAACAATAAAAAAAATTAGGCACAAAAATTTATTAAAAATTTTTAGCGGCTACGAAATAATCATCGATAATATAATTAAATTATTCTATAAGGACTTTCTATAAGGATTGTTTAAAAAACTTCGATTCTAAGAAAAATCTATTCTGAATTAACTTTAGAATTTCTACTTCGTATTCATTAAATTATTCTACTTAATCAATTAATTATTAATTTAAAAAAAAAATACTTTTATAAATATCAAAATTCGGTTTACCATTTTTGTGAAAACTCATATATTTCTTAATGAAATATAATTTCGATATCTCTATTTTACAAATTAAACATATTTAATTTCCTTCAAAACTTAAGAAAATTTCCAAAGATTTATAAAATTTTCTTCAAAATCATTTTACACTTTTGTTCTCATTCTAAACGAGTATCGTTGGATCAAAAGTGACTAGAACAATTTATAAGTCGATTTAAATCAATTAATTTCAATTGCAAATGATATTCAACGTTTCGAAATGTGTTGTATCTGTATGTATCAATGATATGCAGAATATATAATTTCTTTATAATTCAATTCATATACTACAATTAAAACTAGAATTAAACTTCTTTCGATCAACTTAGAAATTCTTTTTTTTACAATCAAATCGATCGAAATCTAAAAACTCAAAGACCAAAATTTTGAGATCAATCTTCGTTAAACAATTTTATTCGCACAGGCCTTTAAATTAATGGTAACGTGTTAGAATCGCCAAGAATGAGAAAGAAAGAGAAAGAGAAAGAGAGAAAGAGAGAGAAAGAAAAGAGAGGGCGTTAAAGTAAGAGGGCCCCGAGAAAAGGAAAACATTGAGAGCCTCGCGACAACTTCCACGATCGTGTCAGGTATTTATATATATGTATATGTATATATATAAACTATACGTGTATGTACAAGATGTGGGTGGTCCACGAGGCGAGAAGCGGGACCTTTTTCTTCTTCTAGATTAGACGACAATAAGAGAGAGAGAAGAAAGATAGAGGAAAAGATCTTTGGGACTACTTACAGGTCACACTGGTGAAGAGAAAGGTGGCGCATGGACAACTACCGGGACATGTTGGCCTTTTATCTGATGTGGAATTCCTAATTTTTGAGGGAAAAAATAGTGGCGATGGTGGGTACACACGGAAACTCGATTTCAACCTCGATAGAGGAAAAAAACATCTTGCGGCTTCCTGGGACTGATCGTTGTCTATCCCTTGGAGTGACCAATTATTTTGACGCCTTTAGAGATACAGTGACGCCTTGTAGGATACGTTATTGTAGAAAAGTTTGGAAGTAATCGTATTTCGCACGAAAATTTTGGAAAATGAAAAAAAAAAAAAGAAAAAAAGAGAAAATTAAAATAAAAATAATAAAAAATTTGTTTGGAAATAAAAATGAAAATGTGGTCATTTTGATGAAATAAAAATTTGGTTTTTATACTCATTTGACATATTCGTTGTCTTTATTTAATTCCTTCCTTATTCGACAAGCTTTGGTTATAATAAATAATTTAATACTTAACTTTTGATGTTATTCGTATGTTTAAAATTCCTGGATGCTTCCAAACTTTCGAATAACGAAATTTACAACGATACTCTAATAATAATTGATTCTTACAATATGAAAATGCATGTAGAAATTCTAAAATTTTATAGTAGAAATTTATACAGAGTATAAAATAATTTGTAAGATCGAAATTTCAAATTCGAAAATCCGAAATATTATTGATACGTTAGAACAAAAGTTTGAGTATACGAATATATTAAACATAAAATACTCTTTTTCAGCAGAAAAATCTTTCTGAAAAAGTAAAATCAATCCCGAAATTTTTATAATTTTATTTTTTAAATACAATTTCCTCGTAAATATTCTTCTAATGGAATAAGAGAGCATTGAAATTAAAAAATTATTAATACATATAAATATTTTATATACATTTCTGCTCTTCTTCTTTCACTTATACCATTCTATCTATAAAATTATAAGTTATAAAGTTTAAAATTATATTTAAAAAAAAAAATAAATAAAAAAATACTAAATATAACTTGGAAGATTCGATTTTACGCTGTTCAAGTTCATATTTCAAAAAATAGAAAAATTGCTTCCTATGTAAAATATTAATATTTTTGTGAGATTCTTTTGAATATGTAATAGATTTTAGAAATTAAAACGAGAATACCAAAAGGTATCGATCGAGGCTTATTTATGATATTATAATATAATTAAAATTTGATGAAGCTAAGTAGAGACAAAGAGAGACAGATTCCAGTTACGTCATTGTGCCACAGCGCGGCGCATCATGTCATCCTCTTTCCATCTCGCAAGTTTTTCCTAAATTACTTATAATAAACCTCACTTATATCTTTGTGTTTAGCAGTCTTCAAAAAAAATATATAAAACTCATTATTTTTTTTTTAATCAATTTTTAAATTATTTCTCTCGTAATGTAATAAATGTATCTATAATTTCTCGCTCATCAAATTTTGATCTAACATTATGTCATATTATGTTATACTCTGTATATTGAAATTCTGCAATATGAATATTCAAAATGCACTTTTTGAATAAGATTTTGAAGCTATAAATAAAAATTCTATACTATATTATAATGCTAACGTGAATTTTTGAAAAAAGGAAAATTATAAATTGATTATTCATTAATTCAATTATTTATGAAAAGAGAGAAAGCAATTTTACAAATTTTGAAATATCAAAAATTCTGCAGTATAAATTCAAATGCATGCAATTCGAAAAAATTTTAACATCCATGAAATTTTTAAATATAGAAATTGTTTGAATATTCGGAATGCAGTTTACAATTGATCATTCAATCTGTACAAAAGATTGAATTTGTACATTAACAAATCCAAGTGATCAATGGAAACAGAAATGTTACGCTTTGAAACAGTTTTTTCAAAGATTTTTGGTTCGAAATAATAAATTAAAAGACTGTAATTCGTATGAGTGTAACGATGACGATAATTTATCTATTTTCCGCGATGAATACCTACAATGTAATACATTCGTTTTCGAGCTAATTTAGCTACTATCGTACAATTACATATAAGTACAAGATTATTTACAAGTCGAAGGAAAAAGGGGAAAACGAAGTTGGTAAGCTAGTCGTTCCTCCCTCTTCGCAACATGAACAGCATTAAATTGAATAATTTAATCAAGGAAATTATATTTACAACGCGAATTATACTATACTCGAAACCAGCGTGCTTCGTACGAAAATAATTATTTCTCATTAAAAATAATTATTTCTACTCGCGTAATTTGTTGAAGAATTTCAATCACGATTCTAATATCGTGATTAATCCTCAATTAACTGCGATGTAAGTCAAAGTAAACCAAATTTTTGCGTCTCTATTTTTCTATAAATAGTAAAATGTGATTAGTGGAAATACAAGTAAAAACATACATGTTTTTTTTTTTTTATAAATAACCAAACTAAAGTCATATCATATTGAGAAGTTAAATATGTACTCTCTAAAAAGTACACATATTTTTAAGAAATGTATACACGGTTATTACCAATCAACTATAATATTGGATAATATTATAATATTGTAATATTATAATACAAATAATATAGCGTAACTGGCAACACCAAATACAAAATCAAATACAAAATCAGCCCTTAAGAAGAAGATACAGAAAATCGTTTACTTGAACTTGATTTTAAGAAACGAAGCACGAAGATTTCGCGGGAAAGCGCGAAAGCGTTGTTCATCAAAGTATCGTTAAATTAGCTTGCGAGGGATGGTATATAATTTTTAACGTCTCATAATTTCCTCTATGCTAAATCCTAGCTTAGGGGTGGTACTGGTCCTTTGAATCGGGATCAGTCCACTCACCCTATCCGCCATCTGTCTGACCGCCGTGGTGGCCGACAGATCCGATGCCACCGATCCCTCGATTCTCAAATCTTGGGGCACGTCCGTGTGAGTGAGAAGATGAGTCTTCAGGTTGCTCCTTTGGTTGAAGCTTCTTGAGCAGACGGGACATTTGTGAGGGGATTCCTCCATGTGAAGTATCTTGTGAACGGCAAGTGTCCTGCTTTGACAAAATCCTTTCCCGCATTCGCTGCACTTGAAAGGCTTCTCCTTGCTGTGAATGTAACTATAAAAAATTAAATTGTAAATTAAAAAAACGAGTCCGGTTTCTTGGGCATCTTTCTTCTTCTTCGCCATTTTTTTTTTCCTTTATTATTATCTTTCTTAGAATCGGATATATAGAGATTGAGTTGATAAGCAAGAGATTTTTGGAAGAAGAGGGGCGGTATTTTGATCAATTTACGATCGTTGTCTTGAGATTTCATCGATCGATAATACGATCGAATCCGAGAAGTTCCGCTTGATATATTTGTCGAAACTGATAACGGCTTGGCAAGTGTTTTTACCGATACAAGGTAAAAACTACTGATATTTAATTTTTTGGATCTAGAGAGAAAGAGATAGATAGATAAATAGAGAGGGGGAGGGAGGGGAGGGAGGGGAGAGAGAGAATAATTGCAATGAAATATTATACAATGGAATTTTTGTTTTTTGTTTTTAAATTTTGATTTTACGTTTCGAAACGAGAGTATGACGGTGTCTCGTGGTAATTATAATAAAAAAATAAGTATGATTATAGAAAAAAATTTATTGTATTAATTATATGGAGAAACGATTAGAGAATTACTAGAAACTCTTACTATAATTGTTTATAATACGTTAATTTTCATTTTACATTTTTTAATTTGTTCAATATAATTATATAACAAGAGAAATACATGGAAATTATTTATTATTTTTATTATTACATAATATATAATATATATAATAATTATAATTAATAATATATTAATATATATAATTATAATTTATTATTATTTTTTTGTCGGTACATGTTTCTTTCTTCTTTTTTAACAAAAATAAATACACGATCATTAAAAATATTCTTGTCTATGGTAAATATTGTCTTGAAACGTTAATTTTAATAAAAATAAAAATTCGATACAAATTCGAGACAATTTTTGATAAATTTTTAACCATCCAAAACACGCTTGTCATTCCAAAATAACGCGACAGAAACAGAAAAGGACAGAAAAAAAAGCAGTCATGTATATAAAAAAAAACAGAGTTTCGAAGAATATTTCGATAAAACTCAAATTCCAATAACTCACCGATGATCCCTCAGATGATCTTGTCTTCGAAACGCTTTCCCGCAAATGTCACAAGAGTAAGGTCTCTCATCCGTGTGAGTCCTCTCGTGTATCAATAGATTGTAGCTCTTGGTGAATTGTCTGTTGCAAAATTTGCATATGAACTGTTTCTTCGGTCTCTGGCCGGGCAGCCTTCTGGTTAGAAACGAGGCGGGAGGTGGGACAGGGAGCGCTGGATGGACACCTTGATGATGATGGTGACCGTGATGATGATGGTGATAATGATGCGTGGACGTTGATTGGGGGCAACAACCCCTGACAGCCAGCAACGCGGCATCCCTCAGCCAATTGTTGAGGAACGCTGTCTGATAACCAACGTTTTGCCCGCCGTTCGAATGTTGCTGGCCAAATCTCCCGAAGTGTTGTTGGCTCGATCTTAACCACCTCGACGTGTGCAACTGTTGATGCATCGTCCTGTCCATCATGGGCGGTGTGTGCGGCGGTGTCAACGGTTCCATCTTCGTCTCCATGCCCTCTTAACGCGCTTAACAAAAACGCTCTCTCTATTTTCTCTCGATACACCGAAGCAAACCTAGTAAATATCCTACGATTTCACGATCGAAAACGAAAGAGAATCGTCCACACTTCGAACAACTCGTTCCCGATATCTCGGTCGGAGGGAAAAATATCTGCTCGCTCTCGACTCTCGTGCACATCTATCCGGACGAACGGTTGTTTGTTGTCGTCGTTGCACCGCGAGGAGGAGAGAGAGAGAGAGAGAAGAAGAAGAAGAAGAAGGGAAGGGAAAAGAAAAAAAAAAAGTAGAGAGAAGATCGTCGAGGCCTTCGTTTTACGCTCTTCCGTCTTCTTCCGGGATGGAAAGATGGAGAGGCGAGGAAGGAGGGAAAAAAAAAAGGAATAAGACAACGCTTGCTCGAGAGTCGGCGCGGTACTAAATGGCAACAGACTAGCCTCGGAGAGGTTCCAGGATCGTGGGTTACCTGGCGCCAAGGGGACACGGTGGCTCCTCCTACCGTACGTTGGATATGCCGGTTGGCGGCTCGACTTCCACAGGGGCGGAGCTTCCGGGTCAGAGCGGATCCCTCCGGGCGTCGCGACGCTCGCGTACCCGGCTCCCCGCAGGGAGGGAAGAAGAGCGGATATACCACCGCCACCGTGCTCCCTTGCCGCTTTCAGGCTGCCGCTTTTACGCTCCGGGGATGATGCCTTCGCTCCCCACTCCCCC